TTTTCCCAGGAATATTAGGGAACTAGATTTGTCCATGAAAACAAAATGAGCACAAAATATTAAAAGCCCTTTAAGAAGAGAAGGCAGCTCCTATAGTAGCTATGCAGGATGGAACTCGTCATGTGTTTTGTTAAATTTAAAGAATGTTTTAGTCATGAAGTGACTGGTTATCCAACAAAACAGAGAAAATGAAGCATTAAAAATATTGGCAGTACCAGACAAAGTACTTTCAGTGGAAAAGGAGACTTGGCCAATAGTGACAACAGGGTCACAGTACCTCTCAACTTCAGCTAATAACAGACTTACCTGAGGAGCGCTATGAAATCCTAGTGCTCAGACCCCTTCAGCCCAATTACATCACAGCCTTTGGGCATGGGACCTGACCCAAGATAATGTCAATGTGCAGTCCTAGTAACAGGTACTCTCTAATGTAGCCATGGGTAATGGGAGGTAGTGGCAACTGCATGTCTCATATTCTGGGCGGAATTACAGGATCACTTAGTACTGAGACAGAGGCACTGATGATCTTAGTCTGATATTACTGGCTATTCAAGTCATCTAGTCCTCTGTGATTCCATGTGGATCAATTACCTTTTTATTACCATAAAGCTTGTCCACAAGGAAAGAAAGAATTGATTGTGTTGACATGTTATTTATGACCTCGGGACAGTTATATTTCTAATTATAAATGTGGTAAGGACAAGGTTTACTAATTAGTAATTATATATCTTCCCTGTCCTCAGCCCATCAAGGAGGTCTTTGTTTTCTTTCATTTTCTCTTTTTCTTTCTTTCTTTCTTTTTTTTTTTTTTTTTTTTTGAGAGAGATTTTTGCTTTAGGACCTGTGCACTTACCAGAGAGACAGATGATAAAAAGCGAGAAATGTCCCTCACCTGTTGCCTCCCCAGGAGGGATGGCAATGCCACAACCCCCTTTCTTCCACTCTCCTCTCAGGAGTGTGGGTAGGCATGCACATATGCCTGGCATAAAGTTTCAAGCCACTGGGTCTGGGCCTTGAATTGCAGCCAACTGTGTGGGAGTCCAGTGATGTAACCATTATACAATCTGCTGGTCCCAGAGGCCTTTGTTTTCAGCACTCTTATTTCAAGACCCTTCATGTTATGAAATCTGCTTAGTGGGCAGATTGAAATGGTGTTTGAATATAAAGTGTGAAGGAAAGAGCAACTTTACAACAGAAAAATCTGGTGAACACTAACTTAGCTAGGAGATCAGGGCCTGTATTAATTCTAATAAGATGTATTGATCTCATTGGTCCTTGAAACAAATCCAAATTGAAGGACAGTCTATAAAATACATAAACTTGTCAAAATTGTTAGTGAGAATAAAGTCCGAGAAACTCATTGGTCCTTAATATGATGTGTAGAGGAGCCTCAGAAGACATGATAACTAAATTTAACGTGGAATCCAGGGAAGGATCCTGAAACGGTAAAAGGACATTAAGTAAAAACTGAGGAGGGGTCCGCCACTGATGTGGAGGTTAATGTGGATCAACCTCACATGGCTGACTGGATGGTTCAAGTCCCAGACCTGGCAGTTTGAAAAACATACCCTGTGTGTGTGTGTGTGTGTGTGTGTGTGTGTGTGCTCAAAATCCCAAAAGAAGGGTGACACAGTGGAGAAGGGATTGTGTCATGACCATGGGGGGGTGCTTTCTCTCTCCCATTCTCTCTCTGTCTCTTTCTGGCAAATGCATGCATTTTCTGACAAAAACAAAAACAAAGAAAATCTGAGGAAATCTGAAGAAAGTATTATTTAGTCAATAATAATTTGTAAGCATTGGCTTATTATCTGTGATGGCTATACCATACCAATGTATGATGTTAACAATAGAGGAAATGGGCATTCAGTCTATGGGGACTCGCTGAATAATTTTTGTAACTTTTCTATCAATCTAAAACTATTCTAAGATTTAAAACATTTATTTAAAAAATAGTACTGGAATTAGCTAAAAATGGGTCATAGAACTAGATTTAAAATGCAAAACTATAAATCCTAGAAGATAACATAAGAGAAAATCGAGGTGAACTTGGCTATGGCAATGGCTTTTTAGACATAACACAATAGGCATGGCCTATCAAGGAACTAACTGATAAATTGGACTTCATGAAAATTAAAAAGTTTTGCTCTATGAAAGACACTCTCAAGAGGAGCAGGCCAAGCACAGAATAGAAGAAAATATTTGCAAGACATATCTGATAAGGGACTGTTGTTCAAAATATACAAAGAACTCTTAAAATTCAACAAAAAGAAGACAATCCAATAAGAAAATGAAAAAAAGACCAGAACAGACAACTTACCAAAGAAGACATATAGATGACAAATAAACATATAAAGAAGTACTGAATATCATATGTCACTAGGGAATTGCAAATTAAAACAAAATGAGATAACATACACACTTAGAATTGAAAAAAAAATCCTAAACACTGCTAATACCAAATGCTAATGAGGATATAGAGTAATGGGAACTCTCATTTATTCCTGGTGTGAATGCAAGATCATGGAGCCCATTTTGAAGACAATTTGTTGATTTCCTCCAAAGCTAAACATACTTTTACCACACAATCTAACAATTGGTATTTACTTTGGTATTTACCCAAATAAGGCGAAAACTTTGGTTCACAAAAAATCAACACATTAATGCTTACAGCAATTTTATTCACATTGCCAAAAATTGGAAGCCATCAACATGTTTTTCAGTAGGCTAGCAAATAAACAAAGTGTTATATGTCTAGACATTGAAACATTATTGTATACTAAGAAGAAACCCTAAGTGCATATTACTTAGTGGAGAAAACTTGAGTGCATAATTCTAAGGGGGAAAAAAAAAATGAAAAAGCTATATACTGTACTATATGCTTCCAAACACCTGAAATTCTGGAAAAGATAAAACTATAAAGACAGTAAAAACCATCAGTTGTTTCCAGGAGTTAGGGAGCAGGAAGGCTGAATAAGTAGGGCATAGAGGATTTTTAGGTAGTGAAACTTCTGTACAATATTATAGTGGTAGGATATGTAAGATTATACACTTGTCAAAACCCATAGAATAAACAACACCAGAAGTGATAGCTAAATTAATTATGGAACTTGGGTGATAATGATGTATTAATATAGGTTCACCCATTACAATAACAGTACAACTCTGGTCACTCTGGTGGGGAAGGTTGATAGTGAAAGTGGTCGTAGATATGGGGTGGGAGGGGATATATGAGAACGTGCCAATCTTTTTACTCAGTTTTGTTTTGAACCTTAAACTGTGTTAAAAATAAAGTCTATTTTAAAAAATATAGTGTGAGTCTGCTGGAAAGACGAAAGGCTATAGGCTAAGACATACTAAAGGTCTGACACTCCTAGTGAAATATCTCTTAGGTCTCCAGGTTCAGATCATTAGGTTACAATAAGCTCAATGGAGGCAAGGACTAAGTCAGTTCTGCATACATCTCTATTGCCAATGTCTGTCCTAGCACCTAGAACATGGCCGACTAATGGTAATAGTAATAACTATTAACTGAGTAAATGAATGAAATAAATGAGTGAAAGAAGTGCTACCAGTGGCATGGAATTTAGCCAGATCAAAATGTTCTGTTTTTATGTATTTCTCAAGTACATTCTGTTTCTTTACTTTGTATTTTATTATGTATTTGCATGTAGTTGTCTTATCCTCCACACACGTAAGTGCTTTCTGTCTACACACACACACACACACACACACACACACACACACACCCATGACTGAAAGCTCCTTGAATCAGTCTGAGTCTCATTAATAGTTTTCATCCACTAGCACTTAACTAAGGCTTTGTATGTGATGCTGTTGAACTGAGTTTACTCTGCCATGACTTTTGTAAAATTTCTTATACTAATAATCAGGTAGCAAATATAAGTTATTAAATATCAAATTACTATAAGATGAATATATCCATAACTTAATTTAATGCTGAATGCACTAGGCAAAAACTCTATTTTGCATTTGTACCTCCTTTAGAGCTGGTATGAGATTCTGGAAAAGTGTTTAGTATGCCACTGTAACATCAGGACCATTGTTTAGTATTATGTGCTCAGAAGCCTACTTGATTTCCCTGTGGAAATTTTCCTAAACCAGCAGCAGGTTACATGAAAAAAGTACTGGGCCAGTGGGAATCTGGAGACTGGTCCTGCTCTGGTTCCTGAATTTATCAAATTGTATGGCCATTGTTAATTCATTTTCACTATCATGGCCTGAGGCAGCTCCTTTTTAAAATTCCAAATGGACTAGATAACCTCTAAGAACCTTCAAGCTCCAATATTGTTTGTCAGTTAAAGCTTTTAGATAATCAAATTGAATTCTTGCATTATAAGCCAGTTTCCCTGTTCATGCATTTTCCTGGCCACAAGATGGCGTACTTTGTGTTCTTTTATTCATTCCCTAGCAACGAAAAGAATCTTAAGGCTCTTGTAGTTTTGAAAATTTAAAAACTTTCAATTCCGTAAAAAGTCTGATAAATTCAATGTGGGCTTTAAATTAGGACTTTAAAAAGTGTATTAAAGGCTTTGGATTTTTCACAATGAAGATTTCCTCTTTTGTATAAGAATATTGATTTAGACTTGTTCTATACAAATGTAGAAATCCTATGATAAAATTGAAGAGACTATAAGTATTTTATGTCTTCTTTTTCATTACATAATCAAAGATAGTGTTTTTCACATTCAAAATTGATAAAAAAAACCTTTACCATCAAGGATATTGCCCAAACTTATCAAAATACACTGCTATTCTAGTATTTTTAGCCATCGTGTTTGACATTTTCCAAGTATTCCGATCTAAATGCTCCTGGATTCTGAGATTTGAGCTGAAGTCGAAGTAGTAAGTCATAATAAATCTATCTCATGCACCAAATTGTGAATTAGGAAGAATAAGATTTGCATTTTAGAACTTTAAAGTAATTTTCCTTAATCTCTATGATTTATCTGCTTTCAGAAGACACGATTTTGCCAACTTACCCTAGTTAGAAGTTCATTCATTTCCGTCACGAGTGTATTCAGATTGCCCTCTGCCAACTGAATGAGTCTCTCCGGAGCCCGCTGAGGTGAAAGCAAGTGCTGAAAAAGATTGCATTCCATACACATTCTAATTTGCAGTGATCACAGGGTTAAAAATTTAACAGAACACATGTTTTTCATATACACACAAAGAACTTAGTCTTCTCACCTTAAAAGAAACAGAAACTATTTCATTTGGGTACTTATGCACTGAGTGCCATGTTGAATATTCAGGCAAACAATGAAAATTGCAGTAACTTATAGGGAGATGCCTATGTGCCAGACTTTTTGATTTTGTTTTCATTTAATACTTACAACAGTTCTATGAAGTAAATGTCTTCCGTTTCATGGCTATGCAAATTATGGCTGCATGACTGTAAAAATGTGCACAAGATCACACAGCCAGTACAGGGTAGAATAAGATGAACTCTATGTGATACTTTAAGGCTCCCACTCCAATCAACAGAGACATAGTTTGCAGGTGAGAAAGGCAATGGGCAGCCCTTGGCATAGAGACGTGGCTGGGCACTAACTGCTGGCGAGGCCACAGTGGTGGTAGCAGCTGGCCTGGCACTCATAGCTGGGTCACATTTTTCTGTTGAATAAAAACAATCTCACAGGACACTAATATTATAGGGGATCACTCTGTGATGAATGAAGGAAGCACAGACAAAACCATGCTTGGAAAGACCTCAAGAATATCAACACCTTTTTTCATTTTAAGCTAATATGAGTGACTACCTCCTTAATAACCCCAGATTTAGCCTCTCTCCCTTCTTCCTTCCTTGTGGATAAAATTGATCAGACTAATCGATTAGAGAATCACTCTCACTTCTTAACAGCAACCAATGGAGTACTAACCCTTACTTTCTTGAATTTGTCTTCAAATTACTTATCATAAGCCCGAATGCTATTTCTTTTCTTTTTTTTTTTTTTTTTTGGAGAGGTTTTCGCTATAGGGCACGTGCACTCGCTAGTCAGACAGAGACATAGAGACAGAAAGCGAGAAATCACCCCCTGGGGGGATGGTCACGCCACAATCCCTTCTCCTCCATTCTCCTCTCAGGATCTTGGGCATGCACGCACAGGCGCCCGGCGTGAGTTTTAAGCCACCGGGTCCGGGACACAAACCATGGTCGACTACGTGGGAGTCCAGCGACAGCCATTACACTAACTGCTGGTTCCCCTATTTCTTCTTTTTGAACCACCCTACAAGTTTCTACAGTGGCCAGTGTCTGTTGTTATAACAAGTTAATGAACCCTACTTTGTCCCATCACTGGGCATTCTTTGGCTAGAAACTGGAAAACATCAATACAATTAAAGGAGCTAAGCAAAGAGGTTAAATAAATTAGTTAAGGTTTTTAAATATCAAAATGGGATTCTACGTATCAGATATTAAATAATTTACAAACAAAAAACAGGTATGAAATCAAGATAGATTTGATGCTAAGGAAAGTCAAGGTCATGTTGATCAATACCCAGCAAGGGGATGGTCAATGGAATCCCTTGGCAGAGAGCATGTCTACAGCTTGGAACCTCTTTCACAGAGTCCTTTATACTTTGCCATCAACTGCTTAAATAATATTTTGAAAGATTTTTATGTCTAAATGAAATGTTTATTTTCTAGTTTAATTTCTTTTCTTAGTATTCTTCCATCTACAAGGAAAATAATTATTCAGCATCTTCTTTATGAAAAGTCTTTATGTCCCTGAATGCAGACATTACAAGGTAAACTCAGATTCCTCTGCCTTGCTCTCAAGGTTGTCCTTCAGATCTCCCTAGCCCACTCAGGTCTCCAAGCTTATCTTTCACTGACAGGCCTACTTGTACTGTTTGCTAGATAGGCCTAATTCACACCTTTACCTCTGCACTCATGGCAAGACTATGTATGGGCTGTGGGTCAGGAAGGTCTCACCACTGGCGGACTGAATCCTTCCTTCCAGGCATGTTTTTGTATCTCTCTAAGTTTTGCAAAGACAGATTTATTCTTACAAGGCCTAAAGTTATTCTCCCTCCATTTAAACCCCAGCTCTACAATTTAGTAGCCAATGTGACTCTTGTGTCTCATTCAAAACTACTGTGTCTCAATATCCCTACTTGGAAAATGTAGTACTTTTGTCTGGGTCAGCTGAGGCTGCTATAGCAAAATACCATTGGCTGGGTAGCTTAAACAACATCTATCTTACATTATTCTGGAGGCTGGGAAGTCTAAGATCAAGGTACTCGTCAATTTGGTTCCTGGTAAGGAACTGCAGATGGCTGCCTTCTCCTTGTGTCCTCCATGTGACAGAGACAGAGATCTTTGTCTTTCTATTCTCATGTGGCCACTAATACTATCATGAATATCCCACCCTCACACCTCAGTCTAACCTAATAATGCCCAAACTCTCCATCTCCAAATACCATCAAATGGAAGAGTAAAGCTTGCTATGGCTAGGAAATGTTTGTGTTCCCCCAAAGTTCATGTTGAAATGCTGGCCCCCAAGATGATGGTATTAAAAAGTAGGGCCTTTGGAAAGTGGTCAGATTATCAGGACTCAGTCCTTACGAAAGAGACTCCAGAGAGCTAGCAATCCCTTCCCACCAAAGGAGGACACTGCAAAAAGGCACAATATATGAAAAATAGATCCTCCCCAAACACACAAGCTTCCAGGATCTTTGACTTTCCAGCTCCAGAACAATGAGAAATAAGGGAACCCGTTAATGGTATTTTATGCTAGCAACCCAAAGTGATTAAGAAAAATCTTTAACATATGAATTTAGGGGACTCATAAATATTCATTCCCTGATAACTCAATTCATACTTTCAGGAGTTTCAGTAAGAGTTATATATGATAGTCCATGTAAGACTTTAGTAAATTGCTTAGCTATTCCATGAACATCACTTATTCTTACTATAATCATTATTACTCCTTGAGTATAGGAATAATAACACTTACCTTAAAGCTATAGTTAGGAGTAAAGAATGTATTCCCTAGAAGAGTATTTGTTAATGCCTAAAAACAAATATGAGATTTCTTTCTCTAGTCCTCACCAATGTTCTCCTGGTTATTAAAATTGTATCTAGGGGCCAACAGGTGGCATGGTAGTTAAGGTGTTGGATTCCCACATGGCAGACTGCAATTAGAGTGGACATGGTGGCTTGAAAATAACAGGTGCGTGTTTGTATGTGCCCAAAATCCTTTGAGGAGAATAGAGGAGAGGGGATTGCAGTGTGGCCATCCCCCTGGGGGGGGGGCATTTCTCACTTTTCTTCTCTCTGATGAGCACACGCATCCTGTGGCAAAAATAAATAAATAAATAAATAAATAAAATTGGATTTGGCCTTCAAGTCCAAACACAAATTACACTCTCCTTAATGGTGTGTTCCTAGGCTACTCAGAGTGTTACTGATTTCTCTAATCTTTGTACTCTATTTTACTTTATGAAGCCCATGGTAATTATGCATTTTTTGCTAACTGCTTGATTACTGTTCAATAATTTTTATTTTTGGAGAGATTTTCACTGTAGGGCGCGTGCGCTCGCCAGACAGACAGAGAGAGACATAGAGACAGAAAGCGAGAAATCACCCCCCAGGGGGGATGGTCACGCCACAATCTCTTCTCCTCCATTCTCCTCTTGGGATCTTGGGCACGCACGCACACGCGCCCGGCGTGAGTTTTAAGCCACTGGGTCCGGGACACGAACCGCAGTCGACTACGTGGGAGTCCAGCGACATAGCCATTACGCTAACTGCTGGTTCCCAATAATTTTTTAAATCACATCGAATATAGGCTTCGTGAGGGTAGTGACCATATTGTTAAGTGTCATGAAACTTCCAGGCAACTGAGTGCAGCCCTGGGTCATTCTATAGTCTCTCAACAAAGACCTGATAATGTGTGGGTAGCACTTTTCATCTTTTTTTATGATCAGGTGACACACACTTTTTTTTCCCCCTCAGGATTTTTTTCTATCTCATTAATTACCAAATGCTTTAACGATGTTTAGAACAGTGTTTCTCAAATTGGTGTTTATTGAAGTAATTTCAAAGGTCTATCGGCTTAGTAGTACAAGATTTTAAATGTGTTTTGGACAATAACCTTAAATATTAATATAAGCATTACTAGAATACAGGTTAAGCACCTGAGAGACTAATTCTGTCACCTGATCTCCGTGCCCACATTTACATGCATGTTCGATCATATATATGGCAGACTGAGCACATAAGTCATGTGAACTTGTCAGGTGATGCCCAGTGACATTTTGGAATGCCTTGCAAAGTGTTCTCAAGTTCACATGTAGAAAGGTAGGACTGAATCGACCGCTGATGAAATAACCCGTGTGGAAGTAGTCAACATCATATTTTTGTTGCAAGCAAAATCATGTTACTTTATATTAATGTTTTTAATTTGAATTTTATTGGTTTTGTGGGCTTTTCTAAGGACTAATTTGTTTTGATTTTATAGAGCTATAATTATAAGGAGTTCATACCTGATTTTATGTTTGCACATATTTAAGTAAGATAATAAAACTGATTTAGGCCAAACACTGGGGGTTACATAAGACTCTTAATAGCAATCTGTATATTACAGTTTCCTATTTTGAAAATCACTGGTTTCGAAAGTTGCTGAACTTGCCTAGAAGCTGTGTCCCTTGATTTGGAACAGTGATCTGGCCAACACTGACTTTTGCTATTAGGGCAGCAACCTACCTTTAGTTCCTGAGTCCTATTTTCAAGTCCATACAGCATTTTATATGGAGCCGGCAGCGGGCCAGTGAGGTTGATGCTCATGGCCACCTGCTCTAAGCGGGACAAGTCACCGAGAAGGAGGCCTGTGCATTCATCTCCACAGACTGTGAAAGAGAACAGCAAAGAACGTTTACTTCTGCTAAACATGCCCGGCAGATGTTTGAGGATTTCAGCTATGAAGTATTTTATGGTCCAAGCATAATTCTGGGAAAGATGAAGCTACTCATTGCAGATAATTAATTCTATCGAGCAAATGACAGAAGAAAAAAGTTGAGAAGAACAACAAAAGAGCAGATATGCCTGTGACCCAGAGCCAGAAATAAGGAGGATGATATAAACCAAGGGGACAAAAAGGAGGAGCAAACAGATCAGGGAGGAAAAGTGTATTGCAAAAGGACTGAACAGAGGTAAGACACAGACCATGACATAAATACCCCCAGACCCCCACACAAGCAATCTAGAGGAAACCTTTAAATAGGAAATAACACACATTCCAGAGTCTAAAATTGTTTGCCAATGTACTGTGCTAGGTTAGATTGCACTTAAGAGTATCTATAGGAATTTGGCCTCGACATGCTTCATGTGTGGCATTTTCCAAATTTATATAAAATTTTGGTTTGGTATCTACTGAGTAGCAATGATTTAGGATTATTTTATTTAACTTTATTTATTTATTTATTTATTTTAATTTGACCAGAGAACGACAGAGAGAGAGAGAGAGAGAGAGAGAGAGAGAGAGAGAGAGAGAGAGAGAGAGAGAGAGAAAACACAACCCCCCGCGCC